CATTAAACTACAAACCCCAGACTGTCAGACGAGGCAACCAGAGCAATAAAAGTGGGATAATAGCGCTGCAACAGTGTAGACGGAATATTTGTAGTCCTTCAAACCACACGCCTCACAAAACTCTAGATCCCAGGATTTTATAAGATGGAGCCATGGCAGTTAAAGCGGTGTCAAAGCGCATTATTTCCACAATGTAGATGATGGGCCTAACTCTCAAGCCATTTACAAACCGCGCTGGGTCTTCCGCTAAGGACCAGTTCTTGCAGGTAAATTTTAACCTTCGGTCTTTATTATTATTATTATTATTATTATTATTAATAATAATAATAATAATAATAATAATAATAATAATAATAATAATAATAATAATTTATTTTATTTATTTATATCCCGCCCCTAACAACAATAAAATATTACAAAACAAGTCAAATTCCCTCCCCTCCAAAAAAAAAACATTATTAAATCGATCCAAGTTAAAACAACATAAAAACCAATAATGATTAATAATAAAATATATTATTAAATGTCAGTCTTTAGTCAAGGTGGATGAGAAGCGACCAAGGCGAGAGATGGAGAGGGAAAGGATTGTGAGGCCAGCCCTGAGACAGTGTGCCCAGCCCTGAGACACTTCATCTCAGCCTCCGGGAGGGGACCTAATTTAGGGAAGAGGAGGGAGATCGCTCGCCCACCCTTCTTCCAAAAGAGAAAAACTTGCTTTAAAAATAAGGGAATAGCACCCCCTGGGCTGCAATGCTTGCTGAGACCAGGATTTCTGCCCCCCTCCTCTAAAGCCAGACCCAAAGTGTCCTGGGACAGGATCCCTGGAGAGCCTGCCCCACTTTCCCAAATATTGCCCCTTCCTTGAGAGAGAGATCCCCCTGGATCCAAACCCCTGGCTAGCGAGCAGGGTGACCAGGCGTCCTCCTTTTCCAGGACATGTCTTCTGTTTCCACCTTCTGTCCAGGAGGAATTTCAAAACCAACTCCATTTGGAGAAGGACTAAGAAGCACGCATTTATAGTTAGATGAGTGCTGTTAGCTGTTGTTTTGCAACGTCCTACATTTTCTTTGGGAATGTCCTATGTTTTGCAGTGCCTTATCCTCTTTTGTGATTAGGATACCTGGTCACCTTCTTAGTGAGTCCTCTCTGAAACACTCTTGAAGGCTAACCAGCCTCCCTCCAAGTATACATACCCAGGGGTAGCCGTGTTGGCCATATAGTACAATAACATCCAAAATCCACAAAAGAGTGATACCTTTATGGGACCAACCAAAATGCACAAGTATGATTCAAGTATGATAGACTACTTGAGGGATTGTAACATAAGGTTTTATAGATTTGATGCTTGCATCTGAGGAAGTAGAACCAAGCCTACCAAAGCTTATGCTACAACTTATTTTGCACAGTTAGTCTTCAAGGTGCTACAAGATCCTTTTGCATACTGATTTTCCAGACTAACACAACTATGGGGGCTTGCAGACTGCCAGAAATAGTGCAAATTGAGTCCACTTTTAGGGTTAGGGTTAGTGCTAGGGAATCATGGGAATTGTTTTTTTTTTTTTTCTGAGACATTGAGCCTTCTCTGTCAGAGAGCTCTGGTGCCACAATAAAATACAGTTCCCATGATTCCCTAACCCTAACCCTAAAAGTGGACCCAATTTGCACTATTTCTGGCAGTGTGCAACCCCCCTTAGTCTTCAAGGTACTACAAGGTCTTTTTGCATACTGATTTTCCAAACACAAGTTTCTGAATTCAAACCCTTTAAGGGGCTGTGTTAAATCCAAAGAAGTTGACAGGATTGGCGGTTAAAGGCTGAGTGAGTCAAGGGAGGAACTCTTGATATCCCAAGAAAGTGGAGAAACCAAGCTGTGGGTGTTTTTTACACCACACAGTTATTTCTGTTTCATGCCATGCCCCTTTAACTGCCAGGGCTCTATCCTATAGAATCCTGGGACTTATAGTTTGGAGAGGGGGTGAAGTGTAAAGATATATATATATATGATTGAGTACTAAAGTTAGGGTTCTCCATGTATTTCCAGTTTCCATGTATGGCTATGAAAGCTGAACAGTGAAGAAAGCAGGAAGGAAGAAGAGCAACTTATTTGAAATGTGTTGTTGGAGAAGAGTTTTGTGGATACCATGGACAGCTAAAAAGACACATAAATAAATGGGTCCCGGAGCAAATCAAGCCTAATTCTCCCTAGAAGCCAGGATGACTAAACTGAGACTGTTGTACTTTGGATATATAATAAGAAGATATCTCTCACTAGAAAAGGCAAGGATGCATTGCAAAGTAAAAAGTGGTAGGAAAAGAAGACCAAATTACAGATGGATAGATTCAATCAAGGAAGCCAGGGCCCTGAGTCAGTGCTGTTGTTGACTTGGAAGTTGCCATAAATCAAAGTTGGCTTGACAGCAGTTAGCATCAGCCACAAGAGAGGGTACTTAGCATTCTCATCTAGAGAGCTATAGTATATATCCCTGAACTGTGATTCCAAAGGTACCCTGAGATGAGAGGAATTGAGGATTAAGGGCCTGAACAGACTTCCAGAAATAATCCATCTTGAGACCACTTTAACTGTCCTCGCTGAATGGTAGGGAATCATGGGAATTGTAGTTTTTTCTGAGACATTTAGCCTTCTCTGTCAGAGAACTCTGGTGCCGCAATAAACTACAGTTCCCATGATGCCCTTGCACTGAGCCAGGGAAGTTAAAGTGGTCTCAAGCTGGATTATTTCTAGCAGTCTGTTCAGGCCCTAAATCAGTGTAAACTGTTTAGTAGTGACACTCAGGAGAGTGTACTATAATTCTCTAGAATTCTATAGAATTCCAAGGACCTCACCAAACTGCAAATCCCAGGATGCCTCGTGACATTTAAAGTGCTGTGAAATGACACAACTGTGTAGTCCTGATACCTCTCTTAGGCCAGAAGTGGGGAATCCACTGATCCCTTATATTGTTGGATTATATCTCCCAGCGTTCCTTATTGCCTATGCTATGGCTGATGGGAGCTGGAGTCCAACAACATCTCTGCATGATTCCCATCCCTGTCATAAGGCAATGGGAGAAAGGAAAGGAGGGAAGAGATATTAAGTGATTGCTGAAGTGCAGAAGTCTCACTGCCCAGCCAGTCTCCTTTATTCTCTCTCCATCTCTGCCTGAGTTGTGAACATGGCTCAATGCTATGGAATTCTGGGATTTATAATTTTGTGAGATATTTAGTCTTCTTTGTCAGAGAGTTCTGATGCCTCATCAGTTCCCCGGTGTCCATAGTATGGAGCCATGGCAGTTAAAGCGGTGTCAAACTGCATTAATTCTGCAGTGCAGATGCAGCCTAAAATACTACATTGGCTGTGCGGTCTTTGGGGCATGCTGCAACTCCAGGCACATCATGGGTCATTTCTGGTCCCAGAGGTAGCAACCAGAGCCCTATGATGGTATAAGAGGACCAGGAGATGGGATTGGAGGACTGTTGCAGGTTTCCACTCCCTCCTTCCAGTTGAGCACATCTTTTTCCCTTTTGCATGCCAACAGCAATGGTGCCAATGCCCTGCTGCGTCCTCTGTTCTGTTCTTGCTTTGCACTGGGCTACTCCAAGTCACATGCTCTCAGCCGCAAGGGGAAGGCAATGGCAAACCTCCTCTGAAGCAATCTTGCCAATAAAACCCCATGATAGGGTTGTCATAAGTCAGAAACTCCTTGAAGGGCACACAACCTACACACTGCTGCCAGGGCCATCCCTAATGTTAGACAATGAAGCAACTGCCCCAGGGAGCAGATTTCAGATGCCAGTGAATGGTTATTAATTAAATCTGAAATTAATCATATTTTTATTACGAGAAAAGAGGAGAGGTGTTTGTGGGATGTTTTTGCCCCCTGTGCTAAAATCATTTGCCTTGTTTGGGGTCTATCTTGTGAGTCTTGTTTTAGGTGGATCTGTGGTACCCTTCTTTGTTCTGCCTCAGGTAGCAAATTGCACTGGGTCACCCTGACTGTTGCTTTCTGAATTGGGGTGGCTGGGGAGACTCTTCCTGCAGCTCTTCCACATGGCAGAAATAAAACAGTTTAATACCACTTTAACTGTCATGGCTCCATCCTGTGGAATCCTCTGATTTGTAATTTGGTGAGATATTCAACCTGGTTTGTCAGAGAGCTCTGGTGTCTCACCAAACTACAAATCCCATGATTCCACAGGATGGTGCTGTAGGAGCTAAAGTGGTATCAGACTGCTTTATTTCTGCAGTGTGGATACACCCTTAGCTTCTCTTGGGGCAAATGTCCCATGGGGTGGGATATCTAGCGAATGGACCGACACTTCAGGCAAACCATATTTGTTGTTGTTGTTGTGTGCCTTCAAGTAAATTTCTGACTTTTGATGACTGAATCTATCATGGTGTTTTCTTGTTTAGAGAAGTTTTTGCCATTTCCTTCCTCTGAGGCTGAGAGAGTGTGACTTGACCAAGGTCACCTAGTAGGTTTCATGGCTGAGCTGGGTTTTGAATCCTGGTCTCCAGAGTCCTAGTCCAATATTCAAACCACTACTCCAGCTACATAATACGTTTCTTGCAACTTGTCGCTCTGGATGGATTCTCACATCCAGTCCTTGACATGGGAGTTTCTCACTTTGGGAGCAAGTGACCGGATTTCTCCCTCCTATTGAGATGAGGTTTGAGCTGGACCTGTGTGAACCTGGTACCTGGCCCCTCCATGATCCATTCGCTGTGCAGTTCTTTCACATTACACAGTTAGAGGCCATTATTCCACTTTAACTCCTCTGTCTGTATGTAGAGAGATCTTGTAGCACCTTTGAGACTAAATGAAAGAAAGAAACTGGCAACATGAGCTTTCATAGACTTCAGTCTACTTCCTCAGATGCATTGTAATCTTGTAGCACCTTTGAGACTAACTGAAAGAAAGAAGTTGGCAGCATGACTTCAATCTGCTTCCTCACATGTCCTGTCTGTATCCTACTGAATCCTGGGATTTGTAGTTTGGTTACAGGTGCATGGCACAGTGGTTTCAGTGCTGGACTGTGACTCTGGAGACCAGGGTTCAATTCCCAACCCGGCCATGAAACCCACCGGCTGACCTTGGGCAAGTCACACACTCTCATCCTCAGAGGATGGCCATGGCAAACCCCCTCTGAAGAAACTTGCCAAGAAAACCCTATTATAGGTTTCCCTTAGGATGGCCATAAGTCATAAATGACCTGAAGACACAGAACAACATATACTAGGCACCAGATCCTGCCTTCTCTTGGAAGCTAAGCAGGGTCAGCCCAGGTTAGTACTTGGATGGGAGACCACTGACAAATACCAGGTGCTGTAGGCTATGTTTCAGAGGAAGGAACTGGCAAAACTACCTTAGAGTAGTCTTTGCCTAAGAAAACTATGACATTTTGGAGTTGCCATACTGGAGCTCTCTAGCTGAGAGTGTTGTTGTGGTGTGCCTTCAAACTATTTGAAGTTTCTGACTTGTGGTGGACACATCATGGGGGTTTCTTGGCCGGATTTGTTCAGAGGGGGGTTGCCATTGCCTACCCTTGAGGCTGAAAGAGTGTGACTTGCACAAGGTCACGGGGGGGGGGAGGGGGGAGGGAGGTTCCATGGACAAATCAGGATTCGAACCCTGGTCTCCCTAAATTGCAAATCCAAGGATTCCTTAGGTCAGAGCATTCAAAATGGAATCGTAAAACTATAGCTGAAAGGGTTGTTACTCCCTAGTGTCGCAAATGGGTGTAAGCAGGGTGACCAGGCGTCCTCCCTTTCCCGGACATGTCCTCCATTTCCACCTTCTGTCCAGGAGGAATTCCAAAACGTCCTCCCTTTGGAGCATAAGCATGAGTTGACATTTCTGGGCGTGCTTTTAGCAGGAGTAATAGCGCTTTCATTTCTATACCGCTTTATAGCGCTAAGTAAGTACGCTCAGTGATTCCCAGACTTTTTGTCCTCCAGGGTTTTTGGGCTCAGAAAGCCACCCCGCTCCCATCATGCTCCAAAGCGAAGAGCTTTGATTATTAATTAATTAATTAATTAATTAATGTTATTGATTTCATTTGTATGCCGCCTTTCTTCCAGAAGGGACCCAAGGCGGCTCACAGGTAAAATAATCCACCTTTGAGACTAACTAAAGAAAGAAGTGGGCAGCATGATAGACTTAAGTCTCTACTTCCTCAGATGCATTCGGTGGGGACAGGTAAAATAATATTAATAACAACAATAAGGCAAATGATTTGAGGCTCATCTGCTGAGACCCAGGCGTCCGGGGCGCTCTGGACTATAGCTCCCATCATCCTCGACCGCGCTGGCTGGGGATGATGGGTGGTGTAGTCCACAAGAGCTCCTAGGTGGCCGAGGAGGAGGAGGAAGGGTGGCCAAGAGCCGCCTCTTCCCAGGTGTGGAAACAACGCGGAGAAAGAAGGAGGGGAGGCCGGGCCCTTGGGTCCCAGGGTGACCAGACCCGTCCTCCTTTTCCCCGGACGCGTCCTCCATTCCCACCGGGAGGAATTCCCAAATGTCCTCCTCCCTTTTGAAGCCTGACTACGGAAGCCTAGCTTTTCATTTCTATGAGTGCGTGTATGTGTTTTAGCTTGGATTTGGTCACGTCCTCCATTTTTTCTCCTTGCGTGTCCTCCATTTTGCGGCGCCTGGTCCTCCTTTGCGGTCAGGAGGAGGAGGAGGAGGAGGAGGAGGAGGCCGCCGCATCTGGCCACCTGGGCTGGGCTCCTTCCTCCGTTCCCGCGGGAGGAGCCCTCAGTCTCTCGTC